CCTCCTCCCTCCCTCCCTCCCGGCCGGTGAGGCGGTGCCGGGCTGCCCGGTGGCGAAGGCGGTCGGTGTAAGAGGGCTGGAGGGTTTGGGGTAGGCCTAAGGGTCCTCAGCTCTCCTGTGGAGATACGGGTGAAACATCGATCAGAGGGAACGTGCCTCGCCGTCCTTGGGTGTTGGCACAACGGCCTTAAAGCTGGCACCGAGGAGTCCTGACCGCAGAAGGTCAACTGAGCACACAGGAGCCTTTCCCTAGGCTGCCTCCCAAAATCTTCAGCTTTTTCCTTCAAATATGACATTAACTGTCACATGGATATGGGGAAGATGGACTTTGTTGCCTACTCTTTGCCAATATCCTCGTCCTAATCGATTTAATACGTTTGCATCCTTTTTTAGTATGAAGACCTTGTTTGCTTTAGAGATATCAAGCCTAGTGCCCCCCATCACTACCTGGTGGTGCCGGTGGAGCACATGGGAAACTGCAAAACACTGAAGACGGAACACATACCTGTAGGTAAGGCTGTAAGGCTGCCTTTAACCTGAAGGAAAATAATTTTGCACAGCCTTAAATAGTGCGTTGTCAAGTCAGTTACACCTTTGAGCACTATTTGGTTGAGAATGTAAACATGCAAATAGATGGTGTGAGTGAGTGTAGGGAGGGACTTTTTTTAAAATAAGTGCTAAATTATTTTTCAGGGAAAAAGGGAGTGAGAGAAGAACGAGGGAATTGGTGTTCCAATAAACTTCAATAATTTTTGAAAAATTAAAATTCTAAAATATTGAAGCTATGATTTATTGTTTATAGGCTTGTTGTTCTCTTAAGAAAACATTGTCCTGGAACTTGTTTCACAAGAAATGCCTAGCTAAGTGTGTTGAGTAACAGAAGAAACTACAGCCATATATGCATGAAGAGATTCCACCTTAGGAAAATCTACAGGTGATGCAAGAAAAGAGTTATAGTTGCGTGCTGCAAATCTTGCATCACTGTATTTCTTATCTAAACATAGGATAGTTTTCTCCAGAAAAAAATTCTATATATGTTTGGCTTCAAGACAATTCCTTAGACTTTTGCCTTGAGCTTTTGTATTAGGGTTTCTTCTTTTCTCAGTGATACAGTAATGAAACTTTGTCCTAGTAATAAGTAGGACCGACAGTTTTATTTCATTTTAATTTAAATTTGTGTACCATCTCTGAAACTTCCTAGCTTACGCCAGGCTGCACAGGACCTAGAGCTCAAAGTCCTGTAGCTGTATAGAGATATAACACTGAAATTAGTGTAACTGTCATCATTCTGACCAATCAGTATTTGTTGGGCTTTTTTTTATAAGGATGTGATGATAGCGTGGCTTTGGCCAAAGTCCTTAGAATACTACCACACTTAAAAGCATCATTAGTGTGGAAATTGGTAACACCGGCAATTTGCATGTCAATCATTGTGCAACATGGGCTTGACAATCTTTGATTACGGGTAGTTACAGTATTAATATTTTGAAAACCCCATGTTTGTGATCTCAGTGTAATCAGTTTGTTGACATTAATATTCTGAAGAATACTTTTTTTAAATTACTTGATGACTTATGATGTGTAAAATATTACTTAAACATTAAATGAAATTTATTTGTATTTAATAGTGAGGAGAATGATGGAAGCTGGAAAAGCTGTCCTCCAGAGAAATAATTTTACTGACCTGAATGATGTAAGGTATGTAATGGAAACCTTCTGTGTTTATTGAGTATGTTTTTTACTTTTCAGAGTGCTGTTTTAGAGATGGTGGCAACAACTGCAGTATGATTTATTGAAGAAATTGGGTCTGTATTCACTTACCGCATGACTTCTCAAGTAGAATGTGCTGGCACTGAATGTAAACTCATTTTTTCTGATGAATTTCCAGCGCAGATTGTGTTGAACTCTGAGATTCTTTCTTGACCACATCTTGGGATAGGGAGGGCACCCCAAGTGACTTACTGAAAGGCTGCTCTTTAATTACGTGCTGAAAATCGAAGAGAAGTAAACTTTGTCCTGTTCAAGCAGGGCACTGCGTTGTGTTTCAGTCATACCTGCTTTCATTTGATTTCAGTGCTGCACCCTTTCGTTTAAGCCCAGTGCCTTTGATAGCCAAAGTAAATTGTAACATATTTTACATAGTGTAGAGTATGGGGAGCTGGGCCGTTATGATTAAAATAGGTAGAAACTACATTCATCTAGTGACAGTTGGCTTTCCAGCTGAAAACTAGATAGGATACATTTAAGATTTTTTTTTTAAACCTTCCTTTTAACAAAATGTATCTTAAATACAGAGATGTGAAGGAGAAGGTTAATGGCCTTTTGAAAAGGTTCCCTGAGAGCATTATGAAAGGAAAGGGCGTATTTTTGTTCCTGCCTTTATGTACAAGGAAAATGTGATGAGTTGCATTCTTAATTCAGTTGACCATGTTAAATAACTTGTGATGTTCCACTTGTTCCTGAACTAACATCACCGGTATTTTTTACTTGTTTTCCTTTTCTGAAGAATGGGTTTTCACTGGCCTCCATTCTGCTCAATATCGCACTTGCATCTTCACATCCTGGCCCCAGCCAGTCAGCTCGGATTCTTATCCAGATTCATTTACAGTTCCTACTGGTTTATCACGGTAAGTGTAATGCAGGTGAGCTTTTTGGTAGGTTTTCAGTTGCAAGCTGAAAATGTGATGTCTTTCTAACATTTTAACTATGTCCAAAAATTCTTTGAACCATTATTTTTGTCATTACTGTAATTATTAATATATATTTTGCATTAACTATTTGAGAAATATAATGGTGCACCCTCTAATGTTTCTGCTTATTAAGGGGAATGGAGTGCCAGTAACATTAACAGCAAACGATGCAGTAGTTGTGGATCTAATGTGCAGCTTAGGTTAATGTGGTGTGCTCCTGAGCACGTTTTATAAGTATTTGTTCTTTAATTTAAAAGGATATATTCAAATGTGAGGGACTGTATTGTACATACCTTGGTTCATTCAATTTAGGTGAAAAACATGTCCACTTAATGACTGCTTTTATCAGTTCACGTGGTTTTTCTCATCTTGTCATCTTTAGACTAAAACAAGTGTCTGCTTTACAAAAACATTGTTTGTACTGATCTATGTCAGTAGAGATAAGCAACGAGACTGAATGGACACTAAGTCACTTTGAAAATCTCTCTCTGAAGGACTAAAGCTTACTCTCACTGCTTTGATGCAATAAAGAACCTATCCTTGCAATAGCTACAGCATCCTGGTGTCATTGCACAGCCCCGAAACAAAGATGCTGAAAAAGGTTTGTCTCTTCTAAAGCATACAGACAGTCTCTTCCTTAAAGAGAAAACACCTGACTTCTTCACAGTGGTGCCTCTCTCGATGGAGATCTCACTTAGTTCGAAAAAAGCAGAAGTGTCTCTGCTGTATTGTAGAGCATCACACAGATATTTGGCCCTCAAATAAGTATAGGTGTGTAGTTTTACTGCTTATTGTCTTAGATTAGCTCGGGAAGATGTATATCGAGTTTGGTTATCCAATACAGATGCACTTCAAAAGATATTTTGCCCTGTTGTCAAGTGGAAAATGTTCTTGAGTTGGTTTTGGGTTTTGTTTGTTTTGGGTTCTTTTTAATTATAATGGCTTGAATGTGGTACTTGTTTAAGAATGCAAAACAAGATTCAGATAACTTCAGTTTCAGTTGCTCCATGCTTTATCTAGCTTTTAATTGCAAATAAACTGCAAGAGCTTCAGTCCTGTTAAGTTGTTCCTACCCTAAGTAGCTGATTGCATTTTTACTGCGTGTATTTAAAACAGGCCAAACTTAAGCTTTTCACCTTTCAACGTGGTGTCTTTGGAGATCTTAATAAAACCTCAAGCACTAGTTCAAATTAAAAGATCAATTCAGTTGGACTGGCAAAAAAAAAAGGCTGACAGTAAACTGATTTGTTTCAGAAACACCCATGTTAGTGTCCGTGTGCCCGGTCTGGCCTGCCAGAACAACATTGGCAGACTTCCCTCTGCCCTGAGCCTTCCTGAGGGCTCTGCGGGCTGGTGCTGTCACATACGCAAAATACAGCTGTCCCACTTATGTGCTAGATGCATGAACAGCCACCTGATGAGAAAAATATGTGTGAGCATAGTGACATCACCAAGGAATGGATGTGTATCTGATGACACGAACCACATACATGAATGGCTCCATCCCTCAGCAACATATGTGGCTGCTGTGCAGCTTGTTGAGTGATGAGAGGCCACAACACGCCGTTCTGGACCATCTCCCAGAGAATTCCAGGATTCACAGCTTGGTTGTTCTGAGCATGGCTGTCTTCTGAGGACTTCAAAACCATACTGCTTTATCTGCTATTTATTTGCCCAAACATCCTTTGACTTCCATAAATTCTGTTTCCTTTTCTGATTGCCTAATGGGAGTTTGATGGAAACTGTGAGAAAGAGCCTGCTGTGTAAAGCAATCATTGTATTTTGCTTCTGTTGTATGCTTTGTCTGTAAAAATGAAAAGTAAATGCTCTGTCAGTGTCACTATTTTTTAAATGGAATTTTCAGTAAACTGCAGATCCACGGTGTAGTTAATGCATTGCTTTCTCTCTTTCATAGGCTGAACAACTGATTGAGCGACTGCAAACTGAAAATGCTGCCAGTCGAAAGCACTCTTAACCTTGTGTCGCTACCCAGTTTGTTCTTTGTCTTTGAACTCTGATTTAAGGTTGCACAGTTTGATGTTGCCCATAATATACCAGGATAAAAAAAAAAAGCTTTAGTTCCTTATGAGGAAATGCACACAGAATTTGTAGGTGCCAACCTAGTTCTCCCAGTTGGGTACTTCAGTCTGTAGACTTCTCTAACAATAAGGTGATGTATTTTAATTATAATTTTATATTTGTATATATATACATACATAATACTTACACACATATATGCGCACATGCAGAGAACCTTTCCTAGTAAAAAGCAGGGTATAGCAGCAGAGTGTATGGCAACTAAGGCAACAAGTTGCTACTAACAGCATCTGTGTGGTACGAAAGGGAATATTTGTTGCAGAATCAAGCTTTTATTTTAAAGATGCATTGTTTGGGGATTGCAAGTAACATATACGTTTCCATCTGTATTTGTATGATACTTTACTTATGCCTAGTTATTAGTAGGTACATTGCTGAAAGTACACTACTAACTTTCTGGTGCTAAAGCACTTTAATATATTACTTGTCTTCTTTGCAGGGACATAGTAAAAGTTAATACAATAGGTGCCCAAGATGTGATAATGCTACATAACACAGAATATAATTTCAATGTATGCATAAGTGGTTGTATGTTGGCCTTAAAGATTTTTTTCCCTCTTATGTGCACAGTATTTTAAATTAGTTATTGCGTGTTTGCAAAAAACATCAAGAATTCAGAGGAATTGATTTAATATACTGCTCTTCTGGTAGAAAAAAAATCCAAACTTTTTAGATGTTTTTGGTGTTGTGATGACTGGAAGTCCCTTGGAGATTACTAATGCCTTGGCTAAATTTGATTTTTAAATGAAGTCATAAGAGAAACGAGTCTTCAGTGAAGTGAGTATGTGGCAGGCTTGCATAATAGCAATGTGATTTGAATTTGGGATAGCAGGGGCTCAGCCCAGAACTGGAACATGTCAGGCTTCTTAAGGAACCTGAGCCTTTGCTGTACGACTCCAATCAGTAATGCTAGTGCTCTTGTTTTTCCATACTGTATTAAGGCAGATGGTTTGGAAAGTTAAAACTCCAGAAAACACGGAGTGGATTTTCCTCGTTCACAGAATGTCTCTCGGTGCCTAACAAAGTGTCCTTGGCTGATGCATGTCAATGCAGCTGAGGTGGTGAGGGTCTGTTGTGCCTGCAAGCATCCCTGCATGTAATCTTCTCAGTGTTTTCCACGGATCCAGCAACTGCTGCCTTAGTGGTACAACGTATTGTAGTATCCTTACCATAAACTATGCGTAATCCTTCAGAAAGTTCACAGTCTTCTGAAGAACAACGTTTTCTACCCAGAAGAGTTTACATCTCTCTTTTCTGTAAGACCTTGTTCCTGATGTCTTGTTATTCTTATGAGTGGGCACTCACATGTCTTTAAGCGACCCCAAACCACTCATTTGCAAAACCCTTTAAAGTTTTGATTTGTAACATGAGGTGGGAAGAGTGTGAATTAAAGTCACTGAACTTTGCTTCTCAGCAATAGATCAGGAGGTTTGAGCTGGCTCCTAGCTTTGTGAAATACCTGAACATTAAGGTCTTTCAAGAGTTAATGCTGTGTATGTGTTCTGATTTGTAATTAATTTATGTAACTGTACTTAACTGTGACATGTAATATTTAAAGTACCAACATGAGCTGCTGTCAAAAAGGATTAATAAACAAACAGAATAAATGCTAATCTTGGAATGATCTTCCAGTGCAGTGCAATAGTTGACTGTGGGGGTTGCCTTTGCTCACTCTTCGCCCTTGACCCCAGCGGGACGGGACAGAGACTAGGAAGAGCAAAAGTGAGAAAACTCATGGGTCGAGATAAAGAAGGAAAGGAGAAGAAAAAAAAACCCCAAGGTATGTGATGCGACCTCCCACAAGCAGGCCAGTAGCAATGGCTGCCCCCATCCCCCCAAGAAAACCCTCTCCTCAGCTTTTATTGCTGAGTATGACGTTGTACGGCACGGAATATCCCTGCGGATCACTGTGCCGGGGTGCAGGTTGTGCCCCCTCCCAGCTTTTTGCCCCCTGGAGGGGCAGAGCAGGAACAAGAGAAGGCCCTGACGCTGTGCAAGTGCTGCTCGGCCGTCGCCGCAACACTGGCGTGTCACCGACAGATTCAGTCACAGCCCCGCAACATGGCACCTTAGGGGCTGCTCTGAAGAAAATTCCCTCCACCCCAGCCAGACCCAGCACGTTGGCACAGAAGCACAAAGGTCAACTTTTATATCTTACATTTGAGAAGGCTTCCACTAATGACAGTAAGATGGAAAGGTAAAAATCGGGGTACAATCCAACTTCCAAACTTTTGCTGATGAGCAAGATGGGAGTAAGATGGAAAGGTAAAAATCAGGGTACAATCCAGCTTCCAAACTTTTGCTGATGAGCAAGATGGGGAATTCAGCTGGGCTCCGACAGCAGCAGACAGACCTCAAACCAGCTCAAAGAACAAAGCGTTAAGCAGACCCACATTAATTACTGAGATGAATGCTCGGTATCTCATTAGTGTTTTTCAACACAGAACTGTGTTCCATTTTCTTTTTGTACTGACAAGCATTCTTGGACTCTGCAGATAATTTTTTTAATTAAGCGAAGAAACATTTTCTGATGCTTTGAATATGTTTCAGAATTACTGGCTAGCCCCTGGAAGAGGCAGTGGGCAGACCCCATTAACTATGTCACCCTCTTCTACAGCAGCATTATAGCATCATTTTAAAACTTCTAAAGTCCTCTGTAGAGCTTTCCAGTGAGCAAAGATCAATAAAATACTCTTGCGAGAGTGAACTCAGCAGGTCTTACTCTCCAAGGGCCTGGAGAAGCAAAGTTGCTTAGCCACTGCCCCTGGCTCTGTTGTTCGTTGATCCAGTATTAGCAGTCCAGAGAAAAGCTGCTTTTTTGACTACGTGTTTAGGAATGACAAAGCTTTATTTGTACTCTTTTGCCCAATTGTTTTACATAAACTCCCAACCTAATGCGAACCCAGAGAATGACCCTTTTATGCTGAAGTACCAGCTAAATGTCCCCTCTGAAAGGATGAAACAGATAGATACACGTACAACGCTGTTGAATGTTGAATGTAGAATAAAAAAAAGTTTGTGTTTTGACTAAGGACAGCATTTTCAATGTGATTAAAGTGGCAATAGCTCCTCAAGCTGTTCTAAAGTCTTCTTAAGTGTCAGTTGTAAATCAAAGCATAAAAACAGGAGCAAACCAGTGAAAATCGTATTTGAAATTTGACAAACTTGGAAACAATAAAATGCTGCATAAAAACTCACTTGCTGTCATTTCAAACTGATGCATGACATTTATTGAAGCGCTGAAAGTGCTTTCTGTGTTTGACAGGACAAAACACGGATAATCCCCACACAAGGTACAGTCCAAACCAGATGCAGAATTCACAGGCTTCAAGTGGAAGAAGAGAAGAGACCACTGAGGGAGCTTGCCACAAAGAAGGGAAGTTTAGGAGAGATTTGAAGAGCTGAAAGCTACTCGGTAGGGCAAAAACACCTTTTAGAAGGTCAGAGTTTACTTACTACTCCAAATAATCTGTAATACTAAAAAATCCCACATGCTACAATTTTTGTAAAAAGAATTTAATAAGGTCTGTTCCATTTAGTCTAATGGGAGCCTGTTGCAAAAAAGTTGCCTGTTGAAAAGTTTAAATTCCTGTTTCATCTGTAGGTGCTAATCTCATCTCTGCATCGCAGAGGATGAAGCAGAATTTTGTAAAACTTGTAAACTAGTAACTAAATTGAGTCATGTGGATTACATATGATGCATTCGTGACTATACAAGCTGCAGCAGTAATTTTTTTATTCTGGAGTGTACCAGTGGACAAGCTGACCAATTGTATTACCTATCTTTTAGACTTCCTTGAAAGCACTGGCTATGGCTGGAAGCAGATTGGCTTTGTCAACCTGCGTGCTGACCCCATTTGCCAGCTTGGTGTTTGTAATCATTGCATGGGCACACAGGAAGATTTCAGTCACTCCTCAGAGAATGCTCATCTAAAGCTGGCAGGTAGGAAATTTGGACTTATAATTGTTTAAAAAAAATCCCTCCCTCTATAAATAATCTTTTTTATAATAATACTTGGTTTTATTCAAAATATCATGATAGAGCGAGCTTTTTTTAGTTGCTTACGAAGTGGGTAAGATCATTTCATTAGGGTTTACTCTGCTTCTGTTTTGATCAGAGGTGTGCTTCAAGCTCTTGTAGATGTACTCAAGTGATATTTAAACCAACCAGCAGCAGGTGAGAGTGCAGCAGAGGCCATCTAACCCGAACTACTTACATGGCGGTGGAAGCCTAGATTCCTGACATTTAACTCTTTGAGCCAGCCTTAATTAAGAACTAGTAAGTTTACATGAGCCGGACTTGCATCTTAGGGTGCTCAGGCTACACACCACCTCAGCTGTGTGTCTTTTAATGTATTATTTGTACAATGTCTAGTAATGCATTATTTTTCCTGCTATTACCATCCTGTTAGTCAGCTGGTGACACTTGAATGGCCCGATACTGCTTCCTGCAAGCTATGAACAAATGCTACAGCAGAACTGACTGGATTTCAAAATTGTTAGAATTAAACAAACCTCATTCCAAGGCTGTATTGTAAAAAGCTTGATTTGTTTTGAAATCAGAATGTATGTACAGGCATTATCTAACGGGAGCTGAAATCCACTGAGGTGAGCTCATGTCATTTTGGCAAGAAATGCTTTTCCAAAAACCAAAGCATTTTAAATGTGTTAAGATCACAAATTATATGTCTTGTTTTCAGCTGCCAGACAAAGATTTGTTTACGAAGAAGGAGTGGGTTTGACAACTAAGGGAACACACACCAGCAGTGCTTGGTGCAGCACATATTCCCCAGTTTCCAAAATGGTAAAATTATGTGGTGATTAAAACCCACCCTTTGTCTCTCCGTCCATGCTCTACCTGCATCTGACTCCCCTGTC